TAAGGTCAGCACTATTTCATGACTATTGTATAAGAATGAGTTGTTTACTTACAGTGTGCTTGTGAGTAAACAGTGTGCCTTTCAGCCTTTTGAACAGGTCCCTATAAAATGCCAAAGTTGTAGACTCTGTCATCTCAGAGCCGAAGTGTTCAAAGGTCTTGATCTGGAGACCTAGATATTGGGACTTCTGACTAATGAGATACCTTCATTGCCCACTCTTGTTTCCAAGATGTTCTGATGATGTCATTTGTGGCATGAATAAGTGTACCTTCTGTGAGCGTGCAGTGGTTTGCTGACTAGTCTTCCAGAGACCAGTGCTGTAAGGAAGAGTGTTTTGGAGCAGTGGTGGCCAATCAGTAAAGGTTTTGTTTAAGTCCACATTGTTGTCTGCAAACTGCTTTGTCTTTAGCCCTTAAGAGACTTAATACCTTGGAGAGGACTCCTTAATAAGTTAGTTTTGAGTCAGAGATTCAGGTCAGTGTTTTTTTTGTCACAGTCTTAACCTAGTGAGTTTTTTCAAAGATAATTTAAACTCTAACTTTTAAATAATTCACTGCAAAAACTGAATACTTATGAGTACGTATTATATACCATTTTTCTAAACATTTTATAGGACTTATCTCATTTAATCTTCACAAACACCCTCCAAAGTAGGTTCTCTTTTTGTCCCATTTTTACAAAGAAAATGAGGCACTGAGAGGCTAAGTAACTACCCAGAGTCACATAGTGAGTAAGAGGTACAGCCCAGGTTTCGAATCAAGAAGTCTGACTCCAGAGCCTGCATAAACAAATATTTCGGTTAATACTGCTGCCCCATAACAGTGAATTACTTACGTTTATCCATCTTGGTGCCATGGAAGTAAGTACCAAGTCTCAGAAAATAATGCACTGGGTGTGTATTGGAGCAAGAATGTGTTCATGGCAAAAGACTGTAGCAGGTTTTAACTTTGAAGTGTTTAAACACATTTCATTCAGCTGAGGAATCTGCTTTGTTTTTGCGTTGCTTGTAGTCAAACTCACAGTGGTCTTGTTTTTCAGGACTTTATCCTGTGGGTTTCTGTTTTGACCCCATTGGGTATAAGGAGTCATTCATATGCCGGCTCTTTTCCCATCTTCAGCCCTGAGCCGACCCCCAGATGGGGAAATTGTGACCCATGCCCAGCTGCTGGCCTCTCTGTCTGTTTACTTTCCAGCCCAAGAACTGATTCCCTCTCTGAGAAAACTGGAAAGGCTCCTGGAGGCTGTTGAGAAGCTTTGATGTAGAGGTAGCAATTGAACAGATTGTCCTTTAGAAGCAGCCAAATTTCATTTTCCAGATTGAAAGACAGACTTCCAAGAAAACTTTTCTTTTTAATGTTTTGTTCTAGCATCCAAAAAAGACCCAATTTCAGATCCGGGCTTGAGAGTTTCTCATGGCTATTCTTGTTCTAGGTGGAGGGTGGTTGGCCTGCTCTCAGATGGCATGTGTCTTAATAACTGTATGGCTGGCCAGGCCAGCTTTCACCTCCCTCCTGCAGGGCCCCAAGAGGAAGTCCACTTGACAGCTGCTGGGCACCTCCCAGTAAGCTCACCAGAGTATTTTGGTGTCGCTTTGTGACAGACCTGGATTTAAACCCCAGTCCAGCCACTGGCTTATTAATGTTGTAGCTACCCACAAGTTACTTAGCCTTTTAGAATGCATTTCCTCATCTCTAAAATGAGGGTTATAAATCCTCCCTCCAGGGTTGAAGTGAGGATTAAGAGATAATGTATTGACATGACTATCAGTGGACCTGGCAGGAAGCATGGGCCCTTAGTGAATGTTAGTTTCTGATACTAGTATTAGAGAGACAGTCAACAGTTAAGACCATAGTGTCTGGAATCCAGCAGATCTAAATCTGATCCCAGATGTTTCATTTCATAGCTTTGTGTCCTTGGGCAACTGTCATGATCTAAGAGTCAGTTTTCTCACCTGTCTAATAGGGATAATATCATTACCTACCTCACAGGATTGTTGGGAGGATTCATTGAGCTAATGCATGTAAATCACCTATTATAATCTGGCACATAATAAGCCCGCAATGAATGACAGCTCTTTATTATTGTTGGTGTTGTTAGTATACCTCACAGAGGTCCTGCTCTGTGTTTTCTCTCTTAGTAACCCCAATTTGTTATCATTTAGTCCCTTGTATAATTTATTGTTGGCTAAAAGGCAAAAGATACTACTTCTTTCTTGAGTCATTCCTCTGAAGATAGATTATACCCTAAGGGCCCAGATTTCCCACTAGTTCTTTTTTCTTTATCCTCTTGCTCTTTTTTTTTCCTGTCATGTAATAAGGAGGGCATTCAGTGAGGGACCCCTTATCCAGCCAGAGGCATTTCTTAGAGATCTAAGAATTGAGAGGTTTGGATGGCTGATATCTTGATTTTTGGTATCTTAAACCAAGGAGAAGCCCTGTCCAGCTTTGTTATTCCTGGGGTTGATGAGTGGCCTTTCATTAGACATGATCTGCAGTCTTATTCAGCTATAGCTCCCTAGAGCCCCACTTCTTTTTCCTGGTTATTTATTTTGGATGAATCATTCAGCACAGCCATTTGTATCACATTGGGTCACCTTAAGGAAAGAAGACAGGAAAAGGATACTAGAAGGAACTTAGACTTCTCAGCAGAACTCAAGTGAGAAAAGCTTGTACTTAAGTGGGGTAGGTAAGGTGATGTCTGCCTAGCTTTCCAGAAGAATTTGAGATCAGGATGGGAAGATAGCACAGTATCGCATGAAAGTGAGAAGGAACCATAGAGATCATCTAGGCCACATTATGTAAAGTGAGGAAACTGAGGCTCAGAGAAGAGAAGTGATTTGCCCAAGGTCACACAGCAAGGTGGTAACAGAGCTGGAACTATAAGGCTGGTTGACTGCATTCAGTACTCTTTTATCCCATGGTCTTGCCCTATAGTTCCACTAGCCTTCTGTATAATAGCATAATCAGAGAGTACTGTAACTGCCATGTATTTTAGTTGAACAAATTCCTACCAATATTTAAAATGTAGTCAGTATTCTTTCTTTAAATCCTCACATATTTGTCCTTTATTATTATTTTCTAGGGTGTCAGATGCCTGATACATTCAATTCATGGTTTCTTGTAACTCTGCTTCATGTCTGGTAAGTGAACAATTTAAGTGAAGTCACAAAATGTGTTTTCTTTTAAACACTGCTGACTGAAGGTATAGCCTTCAGTAGAGCTGATCATATGAAATGGCAGTTGTTCAAGCATTAAAAACATTCCTTTAATTTTAATAACTGTCTTGAAGTATATTTTTATTAAAAGTCAAAGCATAGTCCCAGAAAGAAACTAATATTTGCAGGATTTTCTCAAAGAACACCTAACTCAGTGAACATTGCTATCGAGTATTCTCTAAGAGACTCTATGAGTTTGGTTGGAAAGTTCTCTACCCTAGCTGTTTTAGGAAAGTTCACATTTACGTAAAAGTGGGTTGAATTGTGAGAATCCGTGGTCATTTTCATTGCTGGTCATCAGAAACCTGTAACAAATTATAGCACTGACATTTATGCCTGTACTTCTAAAATGTGCATACAGGTCAGATTCATGCTAGGTTTGTTGCATGTAAAAATATTTAACACCTTAAACAGTATTTTTCTTCAACTGCAAATTAAGTAGCCAAAAAAATCAATTTTTCATCTAATGTTAGTTACACAGTATTAAAGGTCAGAAGGCTATAGGAGAAATGTTGAGGTGGGGGCTGAGGGATGTATTTTTTGAACTGCCAGATCTTGGGAAAGTAAATTCTGGAGAACTAACTTTACTGCTTTAACCATAGTGAGTATCTGAGGAACATGGGGAATGGTTGCCCTGTCAAAAGGACCCTTGTTTGAGCCTGCCTTCAGCTGAGCTTTGCATCACAGGATTGACTACTATATAAAGACTTTTTGGTTTTGATCACCTCTGAAATACTTCTTGTTCTGAACTCACATAGTCACAAATTGGCTGATGGGTCCAAGGTGGCAGTTTATTTTATGTTATTTTTTTCCTAAGCTGGTAGTTTACGGAGTGCACAGTGTATTCTGGGAGTTTGCTGGGAACTAGTGATAGTTCTCAAGAAGCTCACAGTCTAATGAGGGAGATAAGACATGTAAAATGGTAGTGATAAATGAGAATGGCTAAGTTTATAATAAATCGTAGTAAAAGTGCTTATGGGATCACAGAGGAAGCTGCAGCTCTCAGAACCTTTACTGGTTCTGCCTAGCCTTTGAATATGCCACGTCTTTTAGTCAGGCAGCTAAGAAGGCACACTTCCTTCTGTCTGAATGGTTGAAGGCAAGAAAAAGGTTCAGAGAGCAAAGCTGGACATACTGAGAGG